CTGCCATTTCATTTCCTCATTTCTGACATGACCATGTGGCCACGAAGGGTCCTTTCAAGTACCAGGATGAGAGGCCCAAGCATTTCCTGGGCAGGAACACATCAACAGAGGCAGAAGATGTGCCCCCAAGCACTGGAGGAGTCCTGTGCAGACAGCGGACATGGTTGTGGGGAAATCTGGTGAGGTTGTTTACAACACCCTGTGAAGGAAGGTACACCTATCTTCCAGCCAATGTAGTCCCCTCCTGGGTGCCCAAAGGCTCCTGTCCTGAGCATGTACCGCATCCTTCTCCCTCCCTGCCTGCCTCCCTGCTCGCTCCAGCAGCCACTGGTCATTGCTTCTGTAGGCAGATGGGCTGTGCCACTGGTTTAAAAGGTCTTCAACCAAGGAAATTTTCTGCTCTTCGGGACAAATTTGCAGGTTTCTTTGGCAAAGTCAACCCCACTCATGGCAGTCTCTGGGGGTTCCCAGCCAGTGCCGTCAGCAGGCTTGCAGAAGGAGAACATTGCCCTCCCCAAACCTCTGATTACTCAACAAGCCCTGTGGAGTCGTGTTCCTCCTCACTACCAGAGAGTTGTGTTGGGGCTTGGGACAGCGCCTTGTTCCTCCCACTCTCCTCACACCACCATGCACTTTGGCCGCACACTTTGGACGCTGACCAGCAAGAGACACAAAGGCCTGGCCACTTTTCCAAAACACGCTGACCATAACGTGTCCACCCCAGAGCTGTGGGAGTGCTGGTAAGAGGGTCAGGCTGACAGCAATGGCCGTTGGAGCTGCCTGGAGCTGTGTACTTGGGCATAGCCCACTGCACAGAGACGTTTTCATGGGGTGGGGATGGAACTGCCCTGACCACAGGGCAATTCAGCCCTGCGTGGGGCATGGGCGTGAAGACAGTATGCTCTCCTGGCTTGGCCTCCATACCAAAAGGCTGACACACGGCCAATCCAAAATTAGAGTGTGACTCGCCATGGGTAGGGAGAGTCTATCCCAGAAAGCTTGCCCTCCTGAGACAACGCACAGCTGCCTCCATATTTGCATGGCAGGGAATTGCATCACCTCCTTGATGTAGTCTGAGAGCTGGTTTTGTATCCAGGGCCCTTCTGCCACGTCCCCTCCCTGAGCATCCCCAGGCACATGGCACTGCCGGGTCCTGCCAGCCCTCGCTCGCTGGGGAGCTGCGGGAAGCCTCCTTGCTTTCCCAGTGGTGCTGGGTTGTGCTCCAAGCTGAGGAGGCCTTTGGGGCGTGGTAAAGAAGGCATGCTGAAGCACGGATGCCAGGAGAAGCCATATCGCCTGGGACCCAGGGATGAGTCCCAACCAGTGGGGAGATGTTTTCTGCAACCCTTTCTTTCCACCCATTCAGCATTCAGGAGAGCTCCTCACCGCAGCCCGGTCTCTTTGGCCGGGAAGATGAGGCCTGTGCGTCTGTTCCCTTCCACCCTCCATGCCTCTCCCCAAGGCTGACCCTTCCCCCGCAGGCAGATCTACCCAGATGAGGTTCAAGGGCTCTAAGATCGTAGCATAGTTCAGTCCCCCGTCCGTACTGATGCAAGAGGTTCCTCCCTTCCAGCTGCAGGACTCGCCATTTGTCATTCCTGAATGCCACGGGGCTCCTGTGGCCCAGTCCGCCAGCAGGTCGAGGTCTCCCTTGACAGCAGCCCTGCCCTGGAGCACATCAGCTGGCTTGTACGGGTTGACTTTTCTCAGGCAGTCCTTGATTTGATGCCCACCCACTGCTGGGAGGGCTCCCCCTCCTTCCTTCAACTCTTTCAGAGGGCACAGCAGCCTGGGAGACCTTGTGGGTGAAGACTGAGAGAGAGAAGGCAGCCCAGCACGCTGTCGGATGCCATTTCCACAAGGGTGCAGGCTGCCTCATGGTGTCCACCAGGACCCACGTCCTCTGCTGCAAAGTTCTTTGGCAGCCCATCAGCCCCGGCCTGTAGTGGTGCAGGAGGTTCTTCCTTCCCCACTGCAGGACTTTGCATAAAGGGGTTAAACACTATTGGCCCCGGTCTGGACCCCTGCGGTGCACCAGGAGAGAGTGTCTGCCAGCTGGACTTCGTGCCACTCATCACAACCCTTGGAGACCAGCAGCCATGCCAGATTTCCATCCCCTGCACTGCCCTCTTCCCCAGCCTGTATTTTGTCAGTTGGTCTGTAAGGATTGCTACAGCAGACAGCGTCAAAAGCCTTGGTTAGATGAGATTAACAACATTTGCTGAATGTCCCTCACCCACCGGAGCCAGGCACGTCATCAAAGAAGGCCGTGAGGTTGGTCAGGCCTGCTTTCCCCTCCATAAATCCATGCTGACCACTTCTTGTCCTTTCATCTTGGGAAAGGGCTTCCAGGATGATTTGCTCCATCACCTTTGCAGAGATCGAGGTGAGCCTGACCGGCCTGCCATTCCCTGGCTCCTCCTTCGTGCCCCTTCTGAAGATAGGCAGCCCATTAGCCTTCTTCCGGTCTTCAGAGGCATTTCTTGACTGCCGGGATTTTCAAAGGGAGTTGAGAGCGGCCTTGTAGAGACACCAACTAACCCCCTCGGGGGCATGGCACCTGGTCGCATGCGCTCATGTCAGTCCAATCTGTTTAAATCCTCCCACACCTTATCCTCTTCTAGTGCAGGTAAGTCTTCCTGGCTCCAGACTTTCCAAGGAATATCAGGAGACCAATCTCTTGACAGCAAATCCTGTCAGTAAAGACCAAGGCCAAGAACCCCTCCACCTTTCCTGTAATCCCCAGTGAAGCTGCCCTGTTCAGCCTTTGCTCAAGCCTCCCTTTTGCTGCTGACCTACCTGAAAGAAGATCTCGTTGCTCTCCCACGCTTTCCCTGATTGAACACCAGGTGGGCTTTGGCTTTCCTAACCCCAAGCCTGCATACTTAGACAGCCTGGCAAATGTTCTCCCCAGGGCAAAGGGCATCAAAAGAAAGAGCGCTGAAACCTCTTCCTGCAAAGGGAGTTGCAAACAATCGCACTTCACTGCCCCAAGCCAACATCCCCTGCCTGCATGGGACCCCTCCGGCACTTGTGGCTCGTCTTCTGCCCGCACTCACATGATTCTACCTGGGATATCCTTTGGCCTCTCTTCCCAGCCCATGAAAGGAGCCTGCATGGCAGACCAGGCGTGTCAGAAATGAGGAAATGAAATGGCAGCACTGATGGAAACCAAAACACAACCAGTGCCATTAGGTAGCATATTTTGCTTTGGAGGTGAGTCTGCTGGAAAATTACTGCCCGCCTGCAGTGACTGTGGGCCTGGGGCGGTGCAGGAGCCGTATAAAAGCGGGCCCTTCTCCTCATTCTCTCACCCACTCCTCTCGCCTTCATCTCCTTGGGAACAATGTGAGTTTGCAGCCATTTCTTGTCTTCCTCCTCCTCCTCCTCCTCCTCCTCCTCCTCCTCCTCCTCCTCCTCCTCCTCCTCCTCCTCCTCCTCCTCCTCCTCCTCCTCCTCCTCCTCCTCCTCCTCCTCCTCCTCCTCCTCCTCCTCTTCCTCCTCCTCCTCTGCGATTTCTCAGCACATACCTGTCTCTTTGTCCTATGCTGGGTCTTGAGGCTGGTTGCCATGGGAGAGGGAAGGGAGAAGAAGGTGTGGCGTGGAGAGAGGTTGGAGCTTGGCTGGGGTGTCTCCTGAGCTGGGGGGGCGGAAGGTGGGGCATGGAGAGTGGTTGGGGCTTGGCTGAGGTGTCTCCTGAGCTATAGGCTAGGCGGGGACCTCCCTGGGCTTAGTCGCTCCTGGCAGGGCTCTTTTGGGATGCGGGGAAAGAGAAGCCCATGGGTGTCCCTACAGAAACTCCAGCACTCCGCCCAGCATGTGCCTTGGCTCCTTCGGAGTGGGGTGACAGGCTGCTCCTCACCCACCCCTCATGCTCTGCTTCCCCCTGCCCTCTCTCCCAGCTGCACCTCCAGCCACAAGACATGTCCTGCTACAACCCGTGCCTGCCATGCCAGCCCTGTGGCCCGACCCCGCTGGCCAACAGCTGCAATGAGCCCTGTGTCAAGCAGTGCCAGGACTCCACCGTCGTCATCCAGCCCTCCCCCGTGGTGGTGACCCTGCCCGGCCCCATCCTCAGCTCCTTCCCGCAGAACACCGCCGTGGGATCCTCCTCCTCCGCTGCCGTTGGCAGCATCCTCAGCTCTCAGGGAGTGCCCATCTCCTCCGGAGGTTTTGGCCTCTCCGGCCTCGGCAGCGGCTACTGCGGCAGGAGGTGCCTCCCCTGCTAAAGCTGCTGGCGATGGCCCTGGGGAAGGCCCCCAGGGACCCACAAGACGGTACCGGACTGGGGACGGACCATCGGCTTGCTGCTTTCAGAGGGGCCGAGCAACCCCAGCACCCCTTGCAAAAGGACGGGGCCAGCCTTGGTCCTCAGAAAGCACGGCCCATGCCTGCCTTTCCCCTCTTCCACTCTCTCCTTTCCCTCTTGCGTCCTGGTTCTCTTGTGCTGCCCTGGGCTGTGAGCCCCACAAAGCCAGCCTAGGGAGGACCTGCTGGCCCTGCTCCCTCTGTGGGGCAGGCAGATGGACACCTGGCGGGACCTCCGCCACAGCCGTGGGGCGCGGACTCCTTTCTGCCCCTGGTGCTCCCCGCACTAGGGCCTCCAACTCAGAGCAACCTCGTTTCCCTCTTTTGACTCATTAAAGTTCTGCTGCATCCCAGCCCGTGCCTCTGTGTCATCCTCTCCCCTGCAGATGCTCTCCTAAGATGCCCAGGGGGAGGGGTGTTGCTCAGGAGTTGGGATGGGGTTGCTGGGGATGGTTTTGCAGTGACAGTGTACACAGGCTTTCCTTGCAGATGTTTAGTCATGCTTACGGTGACCCTATGCTTTCTAAACTTCTCTGCCTATCTGGGGCTATATAGAATTATCCAACACAGTTCAATGACCATAGCTGTTCCAGAGATGGTTTCAGGTGTCCCACCAAAGCATTCTCCGCTCCACACTCAGCAAGCCCCATGCCCTCAGCCTCTCCTCCCCAACCAAGTGCTTCAGCCCCCTCACCATCCTGGCCCTCCTCTACTAAACTTGCTCCACTTAGTCAAGGTCTTTCATAGAATCAGTCATAGAATCATAGAATCATAGAATCATTTAGGTTGGAAAAGACTTTTAAGGTCATCAAGTCCAACTGTTAACCTAGCACTGCAAAGTCCCACTAAACCTTGTCCCTAAGCGTCACATCCACCTCCAGGGATAGGGACTCAACCACTTCCCTGGGCAGCCTGTTCCAATGCTTGATAACCCTTTCACTGAAGAAATCTTTCCTAATATCCAGTCTAAACTTCCCCCTGGCACAACTTGAGGCCATTTCCTTTTGTCGTATCGCTAGTTACTTGGGAGAAGAGACCGACACCCACCTCGCTACAACCTCCTTTCAGGTAGTTGTAGAGAGCGATGAGGTCTCCCCTCAGCCTCCT